CCAATATTTGGTGCACTTCTTATGTTATGATGGAGCGCCATTGTGATGGTGTTTTTCACTCAGGTATCTGAACACGGTTCACTCATGACAACACTCTTCTTCATCCTATTTTCTAAATTTAGTTCGCCTGCACCTGGAAAAAAATAAGTTTGAAGTAGTCACGAGTATTCCTTAAGTTCTTTAACACATTGGCTGATATTGCCTCTCACGAGCACAAAGAAATGATTGAATTCTTCGGTGATGCAGGAAGATCATTGGTTCAGTGCGAGACGAGCGAGTATTTCTGAATTCATACAATATCATTATTCGATGGCACTGAAAAGTTTTGCTTTGATTTTTAATTAATACATACAATGGAACTATTGGTTCCTAAATGAATTTTTTGAACGAAGCAACTGCTTAATTGTGCCATAGCTATTTGATTTGTGACAAATGTGTATTACGCTGTGGTGGATGATGTGGAATTCTAAATTGAAAATTATTGTTTTCATATTTATGATTGAGACACTTAGGCATGATGTTGTTTTCAATCGTCATCCAAGATTGCACTCGTGGATGTATTAAGTTCTTGAAGTGAAGGGGAGGAGGGGGGGGGGGGGGGGGGGGGGGGGGGGGGGGAAGAGGAGCAATGTTGCCCTGCCAAACCAACGAAGGGGCTTCTGAGTGTGAGAGCCACTGATCTAGAGACAATCTGAGGCATGAAGCATAGTCGAGCGAGTTTCCATCCAGAATGAACAAGCAGCTTAATATTCGTTCCCTGTTACGACATCGTCAAAAGAGTGTGAACAAAATTCATTGTGAACATCAACGAGGCATAAATTCTAAGTCAAAATTGAGAGTGAAACAACGAAAATAACACGTTGTTTTGATGTTGCCTTCTCTTAAGAAGTGTCATTTCTATCGTTCCATCCTTACACACCCCTGACGGCATCTACTTCGTATACAACGCTTATTCAGATTTTAGGCACAAACAAACCTACTGTTTCACAGTTGGTGGAAATGTTTTTCACTATTCGAATTGCGTTTTACGTAAACAATAAATCTTAAGGGGCGTGATTATAGTAACTTTAAGGCGTGATTATAGTTTGTAGTGATTTCTACATGTTATTTGAACTGAACAAAACTCTCAAGTAAAGTCAACACAACAACACATGTTGTCAAACTGATAACGAAAACAACTGTAGAATAGATACATTCATTCATTTTTCAACCGAAGTAATGGTTCTAAATTAAATATTGAATGCACGTGATTTAACATAGCAATCGCACACACGGACCGGTTATGTGCTTATTTTGAAGTGAACAAAATTAGTAGAGAAATGACAGCCATATGACCATATCAAAGTAACTATCGTTACAATGAGATATTTTTCAGTTCCTTGTTTACTTCAAGTGAAAAAGTAATTTCTAGAAGAATCTAAACAATATTACATCAAAAATCACTCTCAATAAGTTTGTCATTAAGGGAACAGGTTTTCAAAAATGCACAACGAATGTAATATGGATCAGAAATTATTGATATCAAAATGAAAATGAATCACTGTCAACAAGTTTGTCCCTTACCTAGTTAATCAATCTGGTGAAAGTGGTGGAAATTCTGAAAAGTAGCGCGATAAAAGAGACACCGGCTGGATTAGAACGACATGTACAGAAACGCTCTCACAAATAAGTGCTAGAAAATGGTTCATCAATCAATTCTGAATACTGAACATTACACATTTCAAAGTGTAAAGAATTGAAAATTATTACTGCATTCATCAAACAAATGCGATTTAGTAAAAAAATCATGATTCTAGTAAAACAACAATGTACTTTTGAAATTTTACAAATAGCATCATATTACTTTAACAGACGAACGAACTACAAATTCTCAGTGCTATTCTGATACCATTTCAGAAATTATATAATTTTTGCTTCAGTGCAGCAGCAAAAATACCGCTGAAGTCAATTCTTCCACTAGAGAAAAATAGTTCAGGATGAATGGCATATTTTGAATAGAAGGCATTCCTCCATAGAAGCAAATATTGTAAATAACGAACCTGTAGAATTTCAAAAATTTCCGAATACTATATATTAGAGGATCTCAAATGCAGATTTCTTCAATAAACATATATAATATCCAGTAAGCATATAAATAAACAAGAGCACTTGCAACGCAGAATGCAACCATCATCTTTACATGTTATCTCCCAACAAACACATGATAGATCATCAAACATAAATCTTACTGAACCTTCTGTGTAATGTCGATAAAAGTGTTCCATCACCCACTTGACAATTACTTTTACAAAATTTCATATTGACTGAGTTAACAAGAACTTAATCGCAAAATTCCAAAATCTTATGAACTCATGTCCTTTTTTCACGACTTGATTGAACGTTACTCATTTCCCGTTAATTCAGCTTTCATGAGGAGCCAAAGCTTCTTTGAGATACCAATTCTAAAAGAGTAAATCCCATTAGGATGTTCTTCCCAATTGAATCTCGCCTTCATGCCGGCATATGTATTTGAGAATGGGTGCGACAGAATCAGTATTTCTGTCACAGAAAGTTGAATGAGATGCAACTCTGCGAGAGAACAATAGAGGCAACCAAAATGATGTAATTTTTCGTTGATCGCTTTCTTCATCTATCGTGCATACCTAAATACGTCCTACAGTCACTGTTCTATTGAACAAACCGGACGGATAACGTACTAGGAAATCGGCTGGACAGACATTCTCCTCTTATATCGTAACAACAGTGTTTCATAAAAAGTACTGATAATTCCAATGATGAAACCAATAACCTATAGAGCAGGCATCGGCAAACCGCAGTCCGCGGGCCAAAATTGGCCCGCCAGATGAATCTGAGAATTTGATTTTAAAGAGGTAAAAAAGAAAAGAAAAAAGGTTTTAAATTATTCAGTCACTACACTGAAGATTTTCGATGCAGAATTTCCTTATAGACCACTAACTGTGTCGCCGACACACATTTTCTCGTTATTAATGCATATATATATA